AACACATATAATTGCACATAATTAAAAATAAAACAAATCTTTTTGTTTCTCTGAGATCAGGTCTCCCTGTAGCCCCAGCAGGCCTGGAACTCACTATGTAGTCTAGTCTAGCCTTTATCTCACAGAAATTTGCCTGCCTCTGTGCCCACATACACCACCATGTCAGCTAAATACATCTTAAGAAAGAAAATCTAAATTTAGATTTTTTATTTTATTTTGCTTTATTTTTATTTATGTGTATGAGTGTACTGCCTGCATGTATGTAAGTGCACCTGTGTCGTGCAGTGCCTGAAGACGTCTGATCCCCTGGAACTGTAGTTACAGACAGTTATTAGCCACCACAGGGGAGCTTGAATTCGAACCCAGGTTTTCTGCAAGAACAACAGTGCCCTTAACTGTTGAGACATCTCTCCAGCCCCCGGTAAGTTTAGATTTTAAAACATTGTGTTCTTACAGATGGGAAAAGTAGGTAAGTTCAAGTTTTCCCAAATAGCAAGACGGAGAACAACAAATGTCAAGCTGTTTAAGGCAGCGCCTTGATTACTGATATAATGTAAATACTGGAACTAGGCAAAGACTACATGGCACTATATCAAGGGGATGAAAATGTGTGTAATAATTTTAGATTTTTATGGTAGTGAGATGTTCTGTGTAGATTTATAGTCTAACAAGGTTGAAAACATGTTTCTGAAACAATATTTATTAAAGTTTTAAACAAGAGAGTTAGCTTATTATCTATATTCTAGGGATTGTAACATCAATTTAGTTTATATCAACTATATTGTTTTAAGACTCAAAGGAAAGCTGGCATGGTGGTGGTGGTCAGAAGGTGAATCTCTGTGAAATCAAGGCCAGCCTAGTGAGTTCCAGGCCAGCATAGTGAGTTCCAGGCCAGCTGGGGCTACAGGGACCCAAGTCTCAGAAAAACAAAACAAAACAAAAACAACAAAGCAAGAAAGAATCAAAGGAGGCAAGCATTTTCTTTTAATTCTATACAAATAATTTTATATTACAAGGACGTGGTAACAGCTAGAGATTATACATATATCTTTTTCTCAAGTAAATTTTGTTTTCGAACAATTTTGGAAGTAATAAAGAAGAAAGATTGGTTTCAGTGTGGCCATCAACTGGTGGGAAGAAGTAAAGAGAACGGGTCTTTTGGAAAACCAACATGAAGAACAGATGAAATGAAGAAATAGTGTTTTTAAAGGAGGCAGAGGGGTCAGGAAGAGATGGCCACCCTGAAGAGTTCTAGAAGATTACCACTAATATAAGAGATAAATTAGTAAAGGCAGTAGAAAATAACTGGACTACAGAAACTCTTAAGAGAGTGCTGAGTGAAGAAATTACATGAGATGATTGGGAGAGTTAATTTCCTAGTAAGATTATTTCCTGCCATATAGAAACCATATCCACTCCACGGGACGAGTTTCCAGTTTACTTGTGACTGGTGTGGTATGGCTTTGGTTTCCCAGATCTGTGAGGTGTATACTATGCAGGGCAGCTTCTTACATCCCTAATGTTTGATGCCCTCTTCACATTCATGAGTATCTCTTCAAAAGGTAGTGGGACTGCATTGTTATCTTTTGATACTCAGAAGTCACAGTACATTAACAACTGTCTAGTGAGTCATGTAAGAGAATTTTTCAGATATGCTAATGTACATTCCTCTTACAAAGCAAAGGTAAGTCTATTCTTCAACAAGTCAGTAACCAGAATTATTTCCTTTGGCAACAGGACTTCTTTGCAGATCTTTCCAAACGATGTGGAATAACAAATCAAAATGAAATAATCAGCATCTTTTGTTGACTCGGAGAGCAAGCACCTCAAGTATAGATGTTTTTCTTGTGCAAGTCATACATCAGAAGCAAAAAGTGGAACATATTGATGAAAAAATGTGAATAATGGTGTTATGTCTGAAATAGAAGTTTCTTACTGCTTTTTTTTCCTTTGAGGCTTTCTAAAAATAAATCCTACATGTAGGAATATTTCCATTTTATATTTGGCATAATTATTGGTACTTAGTAACTAAAAAATACAACTTTTAACTAAAACTTGATATTGTCTACTAATCAGGAAAACTAGAAGACCAGTTTTGATTTTACTTCTGGGACAAAGATGTTTATTTGGATTTTTAATCCAGTATTATATGACTCTTTAGCTTCCAAATTGTGAAATTATACATGATCATCATTTTGACATTTAATGCTGAGGTTTCTTGTTGATATATTATAGCTTATGTGAATCTGAAAGACAATTGTCTTATATGTTAATGACTATAAATTATGGGACTCTTGTATCCAATCATTGCCCTAGAAATGGGTACAAACATAATTAAAAAGTAAACTGAGAATGAGCTGAAGCATCAGTTGTGGTTAATTTTCAGATCCAATGCCAAAACTCAACAGGCACAGAGGAAGCCTCCTCTATGATTCACGGCCAGTGAGCTCACACATAACTGGATGACATTTCTAACCAATACAGACAATAGAAAAAATAGATTTTTCTTTTCTTTATTTTTAACCATGAATTTCTCTAGCAGCGAGTTACTGGCACAGAAGGAAATGGTAAAAGATAATGAATCATACTTCTCCCTTAGAGATATTTTCTTTCATCTTACTCTAATTTTCTTGTCGAAAATTTTCACTTCTTTAGATTCAAAACAAATACAAGGAACCATCTCTATTTCTCCAACTCACCATCCAAATTGCTGTCCTGTATAGTCAGTACAGAGGCAGGGATCCTTTCTTGATTGGCATCTAGCAAAATGAAGGAAACTCAAGAGAGAAGTGTAGATATCAATGTGAAACTTTCATATGTGAATCTTGGCACATTCCCCAAAGTGCTTTGAATTAGGGGGGTCTTATGCATATGCTCAACTTCCAGGCAGCTGTTCGGCCATATGCTAGGCCACATTCTCCTTCGGAGGGCAGATTTGTTAGCAAAGACCCAGAATGTCCATGAATCGTCTTGATACACTCCTTCATCTGTATAAAAGATCAGATATTATAGCTTCTCCCTCAATGCATGGAGTTGGAAAGTTTGATTCTTCAAACACACTAGGTTGTATAATTTAAGTATTAAATTTAAAACATTCCCTAGAGTCTTCTTTTTGAAGACTTAGAGGAATGATTCAATGCTATATTTCTCCAAGGTAAATTAAGTGCCCATTCTGGGCATGTTGACTTGAAATAGCACCTTGTAAACTAAGGACTGCTTGAACCTTCTGAAAACAGAACTAAGAAAACCGAGTAAGCCTTTTCCCCAAAGAATACCAGTATATTAGACACTCTATAAAGCGCAAAATGCTTTTTATTTCAAGTCAGCTGCTGTGATCCAAAAGTGCTTCTGCACGCTCTGTCATTTTTCATGTGCTGTGTACAAGGGAAATATCATTTAAACAGTGTTGAGAGAAGGGGGTTCTTAAGGTTACATCACTCTGAACAAAGTGTCCCAAGTCCCTTTGTATGACGGTAATGCCCACCTAAAGGAGTACCTCCTTCTTGAGCCATCTTAACAGTATTCTCAGGACCTATGGTGCTGTTAAGCCTCACCCAGGAGCTCAGGTTCACAGGTAAAACAAGTTAGTGTTTATGATCCAGGATCAGCTAAGTTACTTTCTGGTTCCACAAGTCTCTGTTCCCATTGACTTCTTGTGAAATTTAATCAAGGTGAATGTTTTAAGAATCCTACATGAAGCAAAATACATTAAAATAATTTCTGTATTGAGTTCAATTTTTTTCTGAATTATTCTACCCATTCCTATTTCTTCAGAGATAGCTGCACTCTGACTTTTCAAAGCTATGATTATCTTGGTCTATCTAAAACAGCTACCCTGGGCATAGAATACACTCAAGGGAATGAAATAGATTTAGGAACAAACAGTTTTGACAATATCTAATTTAACAAGTCTTCATTTGCATAATTTGAAACTGTAAATTTTTGTAGTTTTTTTTTTCTTTTTAACACAGGTGCATATTGTAGGCTGAACATAGCGACCATATCCCTTGCCCTCCTTTTTCTTTATCTTGCACTTGTCCCCATTGGCCCCTCTGTTATCCTAGACAACTTCACCTCTACTTTCATTATATATAGACACTATTGGACATGATGTTTTGAATCCCAACAACCACATATGGGAGAAAGCATACAATATTTGTTTTTGGAAAATGGCATAATTCACTTAATAAGAGCATCTCCAGTTGCATACATTTTTTTTTTGCAGATGACTTGATTTTGTTTTTCTTTATATCTGAAAGAAATTCTGTATATAGATACACAATTTTCTTTACCTGTTCCCCAGTTTTTGGACACCTAGGTTGGTACCATAACTTAGCTATTGTAAATAGTTCTGCAATAAACATTGATGTGCACATATCTCTCTGGTAGTTGAGTTGGAGCCCTTGGGGCAAATGCCCAAGAGTGGTATAGTTAGATCATATGGTAGATATTTTTAGTGTTTGAGAAAACTCTGTACTGATTTCTAAAGTGTCTGCACTAGTTTATATTCTTACCTTCATGGTATAGAATTTTCTTTTATCCACGTCTTTGCCAGGATTTGTTGTTATTCTATTCATGCTCAGGGTGACATAAAAATCTCAACTTTTCGTGATTTGCATTTATCTGCCTGACACTGTGTAGATTTTTCAGTCTTTTAAAAGATACACATATGGGCAAGCAGGATAGCTCAGTAGGTAAAGGTGTTCACTGCTAAGACTGATGATCTGGGTTCGATCCCCAAAATCCACATAATGGAAGTAAAGAACTGACTCTGGAAGTTGTCCTTTGGTCTAAGGATCATGGCATGTGCACACACACACACACACACACACACACACACACACTCACGTGCACACACACAATAAATGCCAAAAAAACCCACAACCTTTTTATGGTGGGATAACTAATTTAAATTTCTAGTCTTACTCCCAAGAACTAGTTGAATTACAGTATTGTTTTTATAGCATTTTAAGAACTGTCTTATTTTTATTTCTTTGTAGTTTATTAGAACATAAAATCTTAGAAATGGAGGGAAAGCACAAGGAAGAGTTAGACACCTTGAAGGAGGAGAAAGAAAACCTTCAAGGCTTGGTTACTCGTCAAACATATATCATCCAGGAGCTGGAGAAGCAACTAAACAGAGCCACCAACAACAACAGCATCCTCCAGAGGCAGCAATTGGAGCTCATGGACACAGTTCACAACCTTGTCAACCTTTGCACCAAAGAAGGTGGTAAGATTTCCCCCCTTACTCGATTTTTATACATAATTGATTTCACGCAAGTAAGTAGAGGTTTAGTATTCATTTTTCTGTTGCATTACTGGCAATGCAAAGATGGCAGAGGGACTTTGTTCCGAAAAGAATTTTTAAGGTTTTCTTGACCACCTTCATAGGTTTCCAAGTTCAGAGATTAGTTAAGTTTGAATTTGTGAATCTACAGTATATTTCTGAAAGAATTTTATAATTTCGTCTTTTATTTTTAGTCTTTTATTAATCCTTGATACAAATCTATTGTCCCAGGGCTGAAGAGCTGGCACAGCCATTAATGGCTCAGGCTCACAACCATAAAAGACAAATCTATTGTCCTGTGATATGTACATATATATATATTGATATTATGATGTTACATACTTATGTATAGGACAGAAATTAGGTGATACTAAGAATTAGTTCTGAATTCTGAAGGGTGTTTCAAGAGGGTTCCTTTTTTTATAATTAGTTTTAGGTTTGCTTTTCAAGAGTGAGGAGGAAGAAAGTTATTGCCTATGCAGAAAAGGTGATAAAGGCAGTCCTGATAATTACTCTGAGTGAGAAAATATGATTGTTATAAAATATTTATTAAGATCCCTCATTCTTAAGATTAAATAAATATATCTAAATACATTTATTTTATAAAATCTTTGTGATGGTGAAAGCTAAACATTTTATATAAGTAGAAATCTGGAGCCATATAACCATATAACTTCAGGCATTTATGTCTTGAGAAGACATCTGTCCACCTACTCACTTGCCCATTCTTAGATAGACAGATAGATAGATAGATAGATAGATAGATAGATAGATAGATAGATAGATGATAGACAGATATAGATATAGATATAGATATGTGTGTGTGTAACTTATGTGTGTGAGTGGCGATCAGGGATCAACTTCCTGGAATCCCTTCTCTCCTTTCACATTTATGTGGCTTCTGAAGATCAAACTCAGATCACCAGGCTTGTGCGGCAAGTGCCTTAACCCACTGGGCCAACTTGTCCTCCTCCCAACCTAGCATTCTTGAAGGAATGCCTTTGTGCACATAGCCCTTGAACTCAGTGCATGACTTTAAAGCTTGGAGCCTGAGCTCATCTTGTACTGTTCTACTCTATAATCAGCCTGCTTGTGAGTGAAGATGGAACTGTAAATGGAGATGAGTGAAAGAGAGCACAGTTTACATCTGAAAGTGATTGTAGTCGCTGGGCTGTGACTTATGCGAGCTCTAACGTCACGGTTCAGTGTGTGTACGCAACGTGCATATGTGGAGGATCCTTGACTCGTGGAGCTATGAGAAGAATTAATTCCATTTCATCTTTCATGTATAGATAGGAATATACAAGGTGACTTTATACTAAGTGAGCTTGATTTAAGGACATTTCGCATTTCTCTGTTACACTCCATTACCTTACATTATATCTCCTTTAGATAGTCTAAACAAGCCTCTGAGATATTTCATAAAGAACATGTTTTAAACAGTGAGTCCCAAGAGCTCCATTTGGGTGTGCTCAGTAATGTGATTGAGAAGGAAAAAACCTGCTAATCAGACAGAGTCTGCCAAAACCCCAAGCTAGAGTCAACTGGAAGAAAGTGTGGTAAGATTTTGCCAGGGAATTTTAATAGCGCTCATGAGTATTTATAAATTAAGTATTAATATGAGACATATCTATTCTCATATTGAGATGAATACATTTGGAGAAAGATTGAAAACACATTTTTCTTATCATCCCAAGACTTAAGCACAAGGAGTTGGGTTGTGTTTTGTTCGTGATTTTAGAGATGTCAAGCTCGGGTGATTCTCACAGAGCTCATATGTCTGCCTACTTATCATAACTTAACTTCGTTCCTGAGTATTTGTCTAATAAATATGTCTTGAAGCTTTTAGAAGCAAGGAGTGTGACTTTTAAATTTCTGCCCTGGTTTGAAGTTTGGCTCCAAAATCAGCAAGGAAACTATTCAATTCATGTCTTGAAAAATTATGATAGTAAATATGATCAGTACTACACTGAGCCTCCAGGTGAGAGAAAAGTATCCCTGTTCTATGGCACAGGACATCCAAAAATGAATGACAATAATAAGAGACCTAGATTGTCTAATACTCTAAACATTCAAATATATTATTTTCCTTCTAATAGTGCAGCCTTAAAATAAATCTTGCTTTAGCTGCAAGGATTATGACATTTTTATTTTATGTATATGTGTATATTGCCTGCGTATAGGTAAGTGCATCCGTGTTGTACAATGCCCACAGAGGACAGAAGAGGCTGTTGGATCCCCTGGAATTAGAGTTACGGACAATTGTTAGCTGCCATGTGGGTGCTGGGATTCAAACCTGAGTCTTCTTCAAGAAGCCCCAGGATTATGACTTTTTAAGAGAACTGTCTGAATTTTCGCTGGGTTCAATACTCCCCTAGCTTTCTTATTAACCGTTAATCCCTTTAATCTTGGTTAAGTAGCCTATCTAAATAGTTATTTTAGATCTCTTAAGACACAAAGCTGGAATAACTCTCAGTAGAATTTCTATCAAGATGCTAATTCCCCTTATAGTTGTATTTTCACTTGAGGCTTTGTCATTGTGCATTTAAAATTTAAAGTAGCGTATTAGATTAAATATAATTTGCTAAAGTAAAATTTGATTTCATTTTAATTCCTACACATGTTTATAAGCTTTACCTACTTTATTTCCAGTAATTTATTTATCATATAGATTTATCTTTTATGAAATCAGTATATGAAAACATTTTACTTTTAAATTCGTACGTGTGGAAAATATGGCAAACATAATATACCATAAGAAGACATCAAATGTCCTAAAATGTATATTAAGAGATCAAACAGTATCATAAATCACAAGTTATATAACAATCACAAAAGCCAAAAATTTTAACTTTGGATTCAATTTAACTCAATTATATTGGAAACACACACACACACACACACACACATATTAAAACACATAAGAACATATTGTTAGTGAGTTTTCTCTGTCTGATGTTTAGGTGGAAAACATCTGTCAGGATAATTATGCATACTTGACCGCAATAAGCTAAGAATTCAATTAGATGTTCAATATGAAGCAAAGAACATAATCTTGATGACACAGATTACTCATTAAGCTTAATCCCATTTTTTTCTACTCCACAGAGCATGATTCAGTTAAATGCACATTAATTAAGTGCTATTAGTAAAGTGTCTTTTGACAATTTCTGAACACAGTGCTCTAGACTGACTACTGAGAGTCCTGAAAGCAACTTCTTTTAGTCTGAGTTTTGATCTTTAAAATGGGATCACAACTTTTACCACGAGTTCATCAAGCTTCATAAATACAAGAAAATTTTCTTTGCTGTGTAGTTCAAATAGTCTATAAGAGGGAATTTTAAATGTTTTCACCACAAATAAACGAACATTATGTGATACTGCATTAATGCTCCATGTTAAAAAAAACCCACCTAGGACACAGTGAGTAGATATATGTACCTTTCCCCTAAGATCTGCTTGATCCAAGAACTGTAAATCCATCTTTCCATAGAGGGAGGACTTTAGCTTTGCACACTTTTCTACTAGAATATATGATGCCATAAGAAACATTTAACCTAAGTATGGCTAATAAAATATTTTTACACATAATCTACCAAGCTTTCCTCTTGCTCTGGATAGGCAAAAATGAAATCCTAGGAAAATAGTCATTTCAAACTGCATCATATCCATTTTTTACAACTTCCAGCTACTGTATTTATTTTTCATAATCTTTTTCTGCAAACATTTGATGACATTTATTCTTAGAAACATTATCCACTAGAGTAATATTGTCTCCAGTGGTTATCACAGGGTCAAGGTTTAGCTGATTGCTTCATGGTTTTTTTTTTTTTTGTTATTGCTAGAATTAAATAATTCACATTGGTAGTGGCATGGAAACAATTTTTAGAATTCATTGGAGAGGACAATTGAACACTGTAACTGTCACCAAGAGCCACCACTCATTTGCATTCATTGGTGATTAAGAAATTATCAGATGCATTAGACACATGAGACCCACATACTATTATATAATTGATGTTTGATTAATGGAAAAACATGAAAAAAAGAAAAATGAAAAGGAAATTTTAAAAACAGTATTTAGGCTCATCATAAAATGAGACATCTCACTTTCCACATCAGCTTGAAGCATATTCCTACTATGCCAAAATGTGATTCATAAGTTTACCCATTCATTCAAAAACATTTTAAAAAGATGTTCTTTAATAGAATCAGGAAAGATTCTGTGAGGGGATAATGATGCTTCTTTGTTTTTATTTAGCAAATACTTGCTACGTTCTTGTATGGTTCTTATATTGTTAGTGCTACTGGGAAAAATGTGCTTTAGTCTTAGAATCTTAATGTCTTTAAGGCAGCTAGAATTTAACCAAAAGAAAAACCATTAAACGAATAACTAAATCCAAGAATTCTTTGTTTGTTGTGAGCCCAGGTCTTCTAAGCGCCAGCTAAGCAAAGGCATTTATGGCAAGGTGACTGGGGAGATTAACACAGTAAAGTGTTTTCTATGCAAGCATGAGGACCCAAGTTTCATCCCCAGAACATGGAGAAAAAGTCAGGTGCAGTGGCAAGTTTCTGTAATCCCAGTGCTGGGAGGCAGGAGTCAAGCTAATCCCCTAGGCTTCACTAGCCAACTACCCTAACCTACCTGCAGCCAATGGGAGGCTCTGTCTCAGAAACAAGATGGATAACACCTGATAAACAGCACCAAAGATGTAGCTCTGTCCTCCACATTCATATGCACACACATGCACATACACAAAATTACCATAAGGACAGAATGACAGTATCATCCAGTATCAATGGACTCTTCTTAATGATATTATTGAATTCTTATTGTGGCTCTAGCATTGTGTAAACTTTGTCTATATCAATTTTGTCTTCACTACAACAGTTTGAATTACTAAGTCTAGCCCATTTGTAAGTTCCACAGGGAACTGGAGATT